GAATTGACTTGATGCCGCAAATACGGGGAACCAGCTGCGGGTCTGTGCGATAGTCGCCAGAATCGATCCATGTTTACCTGATAGTTCAGAGAGTTTTTTAGTTCATGGATTTAATTGTCTTTATTGTTTTCAAGTTTGTCGGTCCTTATAAAACGATGAGCTTACTAACCTTCCTTCTTGGTACCTTCGAAGTGGTTGTTGTGGGTTCTGTAGTTGTTGTTGTTGTTGTTGTTGTTGTAGGTTCAGTTGTGAACGAGTCATGAGTGACTTCCGACTCTTCTGTTTCTATGAATAGAATGGAATAAATTCCTAGTGTGATTAACAAATATCATCCACTTAGATGCTAACCGCCGTGTTCTTCATCCTCGTTTTCCTCATCGGCTTCTTCCTCGTCCTCATCCTTCTCTTCCTCCTCATCTTCTTCTTCTTCCTTTTCTTTTTCTTCCTTAGAGGTTGTCGTATCTTCCTCAGACGATGTCGTTGAGGGTTCAGTAGTAGTAGTTGTTGTTGTTGTTGGAGCTGCCGTGGTAGTCGGTGGCTTTCTATTGCAGCATGGTGGCTGAGCGGGACGTGAAAGGGCCTAAAAATCCGTTTTAATTCTCTGATTTGCTTGATATAAGTGGGACATAACGCGTAAAGTTAGAAGACTTCGTTTATTATGTTTACTCATACCTTGGGACAAACGTCAGGGGTTTCGTCATGCCAGTTAGTTTTGCAAATATTGTTTGGCTCTGTTGTCAGATTAATAGCTTGAGGTCCGTTCATGACATGAAAACCGTCTTGTGAGCAAACCATAGGGTTTTCTACAAAGCACGTTTGTTTCAGAAAAATTACGACTAAGAAGCGTATTTTTGCTCTCTAGACTGTAGTTTACCTTGTAAGCGAACGGTAAGGTGATCAGTTCCTTGGATTGCGCCTTGCTGCAGAGACTGAATTTTGTTGTTTGCGAGGTCTATGGTGTGGAGATTCGCTAGGTGGTTGAAAGAAAGAGGCTAAAAGAGGTTAGAGTGCATGTATTTGCTTATCCTTGACAAATTATACAAGATTCATACCTGAATATCTTTAATGTTATTATTGGCAAGTGAAAGCTGGCGAAGGAACAATGCTCCTTGGAATGTTGTAGGACTGATTGTATCGAGACAGTTATTTGGTAGCCAGAGAAGTAAAAGAGGAATTCCTGCGAATGCTCCTGGAGCGATTGACTGAAATTTGCGCAATGCATACGCAAAAATCGGTGCTAATAGTAATCCTAGGAATTGTACCTTAATGTTATTGCTCTCAAGATTTAGATGCTGTAAACTTTCTAGTCCCGCGAATGTCTCTGTCGTTATTTCTGACAACTTGTTAAATGCCAGATCGAGTACCTTAAACGACCATTAATTTGAACTTGACAATACGATGAACATTTTATTACCTGAGTTTGCTTGAATTGGGCCATCGTGCCAACATCAAAGTTATAGAGCTGATTTTCGGCAAGGTAAACATAACGCAAGTTTGGAGTGTTTTCAAGTGCCTGTGGGTGTATTGAAGAGATGTTGTTACTGCTTAGGGAAAGCATTGATAAGGAGGATAGATTAGTGAGTTGTTTCGCCTCAATAGTGTCAATCTGAAATATTGAATATTCACTAGTAGAAAAACAACATTTTCCTTTCAATGCTCGTTCCTTTTCCTACTCTTCTCTGACCTCTAATTACGGAGTTTCGTCGAGCGCAATTAAGTTTGTAATTATGCGCCTCGCCTTTTTTCGCTTTTGTAACACGGTCTTTAATTAGAAAGGTTAATTGGGATTGTAGATAGTCTTGCTCATCCTCACTGACCTTGCTCTCATGTTGCAGGAGGGTCTCCATTTACATCTACAGTGTTGCATTTGTTAACCTTACCTTGTTGTATTTGAGGTGCAGAGCAATCAGGCTTTCCATATTCTTCACTGCTTCAGCGGGGAATTTATGCAAACAGTTCATATCGAGGATAAGATTTTGTAGAGTGTCGCGAACCCCATCGAACGTGTTTGGAGCAACTTCGCAGATCTAAAAACATCGCTTACGAGTTCATCTATCTCCAATAGCAGTGCACACTCACATCGTTGCAGGATAGATTGAGATCGATCAGAGATGTTAAATTATTGAATACTGGCTCGGTCAGGTTTCCGATTCTATTGCATTTGAGGCTCAAAACGTTGAGTGCTCGTAGTCCAGCAAGTGCATCACTTGGAACCTGGGTAAAGCTATGAATTCATTCAATATTAGCGTTTATCAGTTAGTCACATGGATTGCAGTCACTGCAGCTCTAGTAACCCCAATTCGCAGCGCTTCGCTGACCCTGGCGACCTTGATTCCATCAGTGCGCCTGTTCGTTCGCGCATCTTTTATGGGATAAGTTTTTTTAGGAAGGAAGTCCGTTGTAAGTTCGCTTCGTTCGAGTTGTCATGTTATTCACTCATGTAGAAAGAAGTGGGCCTTTCTCTTACAATGGGTTTCACCCAAAAACCTTTAGAACATCGATCTATAGAGAAAGTTCAAAAAGAAACGATCGTGAATACCTCTGGCAATTTGTTTTGAGCGATAGAAAGCTCCTGTAGCACATTTTCTAGTCCTCGAAAAGCGTCCTTGTGGAGTGCTTTGATGCGGTTCTTATCCAAAACCAATTTCTTTATGCGGAGATTTTTAAAAGCCCGAGGTCCAATCTGTAATTTGTAAATAAACTTTTTAGAAAGCGTGAAGTAAGTTCATTTTACCTCGACGATGTTGGCATTTTCCAAAGTTAGTTCTCTAATTTCGAAATGCGACTTTTTCATTTGCTCGACCATGATTGGCCCTTCATGACCTGAGCAGCGAATCACAGAGCCGTCCAGGTAGTCGAAACATGAGCAGGCTGTCTAGATTTTGGGAATTTTGTACGCTTTGGTTTTGAAGCGCGTAGTAAAGAACAATATGCTCACCTGATTCTTGAAAAACTCAGGGCAGTAGGCGAGAGCTACTGCTGGGAGTAGAAACAACGCAGGCCACCGCATCCTGGCAAAAACGCGACAATGAGCGGGGTCGGTATGAGGTGGTAGGGATTGACGTAGTCGATCGCCTACCGCTACTTGGCCCGCCTTTAGTCTCTCGCGCTTCCCTTCACCGGGTCAAGGCCCAAACGGTACGTGATCATAAAAAGGTATTCCACCTAAGGAGTCGCAACAGGATAGAGCTTCGTGGTGAAGTGAGAGCTGGCTTCGCATTGAGCAGGCGAAAGCTTACCTACAGTATGGATGAGCGTTTTTGGAGTCTCCAATTATTACAGCTTCAACCTATTACATTCTACCAGTTTCCTTCTATTAAGTGGACAATATATGAAATTATTATATTCTGAATAATCCGCTCAGCATTGTTAATTGCTAGTGAGATTATTGTTTCTCGAAAATCTTGTGAAAATTCACTCTAAAACGCATCATAATGCTAGAAACCCCTTAAGAATTTCAAAGAAATGTCTATGTTTTTGTTTAAAATCCTCGCGCATGGTTAATCTTAGAAGAAGTGACAGGAGCTGCTTATTGAC